GTTTTGTTTGAAAAAAAATTTCATTTTAAAAAAGTTAAAAAGAAATTTGTATACTCAAAAAAAAAAGTAAACAAAAAGAATTAGTCCATTTAATTATCTAATTACACTGCTTCACTCATTAATTAAAATATGATATTACTTATATTAAATAATTACTTATTATAATGATAGTTTGTAATTTATAACTGTGAATTATGAATTTATCAATTATGAAAATTATGTGATCGAAATTATTGAAATTAAAAAAGAATTAATTTTTAGCACAAATGAGAGGACTAATGAAATGAAAATTAAATTAGAAACGATGAAGATTGATTAAATGAAGGATGAAATGAGGGATGAAAATCTTTTTAAATAAAAAATGAAATTTTTAGAGGAAAGTTTTTTCCTCTTTTCTTTTTTTCTTTCTTTCTAGGAAAAATGATGCACAAATTTTTTAGTCAAAATGGAAAGAAATGGAATGAAAACAAACAAATTGTAGCAAAAATTAGGACAAATACGAAAGTTTCTAAACAACACAAACAAACAAAATAAAACTGTGACAAAATTTAGAGCAAATATGAAATTTTCTTTTTTTTTTGGATCAAAATAGAGCAAGTAACAATGGGCGATAATGATGATAATGGTAGTGTTGATGATGAGGACGATAATAATAATAATAATAATGATTATGGTGAGGATGAGTGATTATGGTGAGCGGTGATGATGATAATGGTGAATGATGATAATGATGATGGTAATGATGATGATGAGGTAATGGCGATGATGGTTAATAGTGAGTGACGCTATGATGATGTTGATGATGATGATGATGATGATAATGATATGATTATGGTGTTAGTGATGAAGAATGATGATAATAATAATGATAATGATGATTGTGATGTTTATCATGATGAGTGATCATGATAGTGATAACGATTATAATATTGATGATAATGAATGATGATAATGATGATTATGGTGTTAGTGATGGTGACTGATTGATAATAATAATGATGATAATGACTGTGATGCTTATCATGATGAGTGGTTATGATAACGATAATGATTGTGATGTTGATGATAATAATAATAATGATGATGATGATGGCTGTGATGTTTATCATGATTAGTGATTATGATAGTGATAATGATTGTGATGTTGATGGTAATGAATAATGATAATGATGATTGTGATTATTGTGAGTGGTGATGATGACTACTGCTATTAACCTACTTGTCAAAATAATGAAAAAAGTGAAGAAATTTAAAAGTAAATAAAATAGGAAATAACGGGAAGAGTATCATCCTTGTATGTGAATTGAATTAATTAGTTAATGAAAATGATGAAAAATTTGATAGTTATCACATTTTATCAGTTAACAAAATGATAAGATGAGAAATTATTGGAAGAGTAAAGGCCATTTCTACCCGCGCTAGTGACAATCTTTTGTCGTAATTGCACATTTTCTCATTTTGAACAGTATCGAGCTGTTTAGTTCCATCACAACAACCATAAATTTTTTTATCAAAACTCGTTTTTTTTTTTTTTTTTCTAAATTATGTTTCAACTTTCTAACCCTTCTTTCAAATCACTTTCTCTGCAATACATTTTCATTATCCATTAATTGCCTTTTTTTTTTTTTCTAAAAAATTTCATTAATAAAGCAAATGCTCTTTTTTTAAAATCAAATGCAAACATCTATGATATGATATGATATGATAAAAATATAATTACAACAATACGATTGGTTATCAACATCTACAAATAATTTTAAATTAATCTAATGTTCCAATTATTTCAAAGTTTTATAATAAAATCTACTCAGAATCATTTTTTCTTCTTTTAAATTTACAAAATTTATGATACGTATAAATATGAAGAATTAAGTAATAAATAATACTTTATATGCAATATCAAATTTTTTGAAAATTTTATCAAAAAAATTTTACTAAAACTGATAATAACATTTCATTAAGCTTATAATTATTAAAGCAATAATTATTTCTAACAAATTAAAATCATTAAATGATAATAATTACAAAATTTCAAACAAATAGCAAAATATGAAAAAAATTAATACTTCAATTCAAAAAATTAGTAATTAAATATTAAAAAATTAATGAAAATTAATATTTCCCATTCATTTTATTTTCATTTTTTATTTTTAGAATTTTGAAACAAATAAAATTTTTATATTGAAAAAGAAAAAAAAAAATTAGAATAATTAGAAAAAAAAAATACAAATTTCAAAAAAATTTTGCTTTCGCTTATAATTTACACAAATAAAATATCAATGATAAGTATAAAATTAATAATGAATAAATTGAAATATTATAAAAATAAAAACATTTAAATGCTTAATAAAAATATTTTAATTTATTTCAGATAAAATTTCTTTTTAGTTTACAAAACTAACATATTATTACTTAATAAATATACAAACAAATAAACAATAAAAATGATCAAAAGACATATTTAAAAATTTACACTTCGTTTTATCTAATAATAAAATATTTTGGTAGACAATTTTTACTGCAAACATTTTTTTTTTTTTTTAACTTTCATTGTTTCACTAAAAAAAAAAAAAAAAATTATGTGAAAGATAGAAAAGAATGAAAAAGAAAAGATAAAAATAAAAATCGTTAAATTAAACTAAACTAAACATTAAATTAGACTAAAATACAAATGCTAACATTAAATTTTATCGAAATATAAAGCCTTCAAAGTTAAACATAAATTGGAATAAAATAAAATAATAAAAAAGAAATGTATATATATTTGTTGATGATTGAATTTATAATGTTAGTTTTATATTGCATTATTATCATATCCCAATATTTTATTTATGAATAAAATTATATGAATAATTTTATAGATGACAAAAAAAGTCTTGATAAAGCGTATTACACGTACGTTCTATTCGAAGTGATAAAGAAAAAAATTTACGTGTGTGTCATTTTTACTTATAGAATTAACACTTATCACGTCATGTTTGTAAAATGATTTTGATAATTGATAACATTTATGTAAATTGTTTGGAACGAAAAAAAAAAAAATTAGTACTTTAAAATTTTATTTTTTTAAAGGTCTTTCATCGCTTTTTTTTTAATACTTGTCACGTCATTTATTTATTTATTCTTCTTTTTTATTATTTTAAGAACTTTCACATGAACATTACATTTGTAAATACGTTATTTTGAAAATCTCGACAGAGCTGAAATTGTCAAGTAAAGATAGATAATTAAGGTTATTGAAAATGAAGTAAAAGTTTGAGTAATCAATATTTTTTTTTGAAATTTGTGGGACATTCGGGATTATACGGAGAACGACCTGGAAAGATTGTACGATCAGTGGGAGGAAAATGATGACGATGAATTGGAAGAGGATGAATTGCCACCATACAAACGTAAAATACAACAACCAAATCTTGATAAGATCATGAAACAGGTATGCATTTCTATAATTGTTGCAAGTAACTCTTCGCAATAATTTTTCGATGGAGTTAACCTTCGACAACTCTTTGAGGTGTTAACTTTTGACAACTCGTCGAAGAGTTAACCTTTGACTTCTCGACAGGGTTAACCTTCGATAGCTCTTCGAGGGGTTAACCTTAAACAACTCTTCGAGGGGTTAACCTTAAACAACTCTTCGAGGGGTTAACCTTTGACAACTCTTCAAAGGGTTAACTTTTGAGAACTCGTCGAAGAGTTAACCTTTGACTTCTCGACAGGGTTAACCTTCGATAGCTCTTCGAGGGGTTAACCTTAAACAACTCTTCGAGGGGTAACCTTAAACAACTCTTCGAGGGGTTAACCTTTGACAACTCTTCAAAGGGTTAACTTTTGAGAACTCGTCGAAGAGTTAACCTTTGACTTCTCGACAGGGTTAACCTTCGGTAGCTCTTCGAGGAGTTAACCTTTAACAACTCTTCGAGGGGTTAACTTTTGACAACTCTTCAAAGGGTTAACTTTTGAGAACTCGTCGAAACCTTTGAATTTTCGGCAGGGTTAATCTTTGATAGCTCTTCGAGGGATTAACCTTTGACAACTTCTCAACAGGATTAACCCTTCTTGATTTCCATTATTCATTAGTCATGCTTAGTTTTATCATATATAAATATATTTTATCATATATAAACAATCATTTTTTTTTTTTTCATATATATATAAATAATTATCATATATCATATATTTTTATCATATATAAATAATTATCATATATAAATAAAATTTAATCATATATAAATAAAGTTTTATCATATACAAATAATTATTACATAATTAAAATTTATCATATATTTTACAGCTAGATAATCTATATTAAATGAAGAAAATATTCAATTTTCCATAGAAATGAAGCTAAAATGAAGTAAAATGACTTGAAAGATTTCTTTACCAGAAAATTTTCCTTCACCAGAAATCCTTCAAATCTTTCCTTCATTTTAGCTTCATTTCTCTGGAAAATTGAATATTTCCTTTATTTAATAGAGATTGTTAAATGTTATATTTTTATCACTTCCTATTGCTATCATCTGATATAAGAGCAGTAATAACTTATTTCTATTTCTGTAAAACAGATTAGTTTAAATTTAAATTTACTACTGTAAAAGCGGCAAATTAATACAATGAATAATGCGAGATATATTTGATGATAATACAAAGAAAAAAGTAAGCAAAAAAGTTTTTTTTTTTCGTTATATAGCAAATAAATTATTAAAGAATTATCATATAACTCAAAAATGATTTCATCTCTAATAGTACAAATTACAAAGCCATAAAATGGAAAAGCATAAGCATAAGAAATATGATAATTAGCATTTTGTTAATTTTATAAATTTTATCAATTACATTTGCAAAATTGTAATGCCTGCAAAGCCTATCAAATATTTGAGACCAAAATTTTGCAATTTCACTGCTCTAATTTTAATTTAAGACTTCAAAACAGTGATGTTTCACAATTTTTTATAGGAAAAAAAGAAAAAAGAGACAAAAAAAGAAATCATAGTTTACTTTTATCAATGATCATCACTTTTTTGCTGCATGTAATCGATCATGATCGATGAATTGCCAAGAATAAAATTAATTTTTGAATCACAATGTTCATTATCATCGATATTCTCTTTGATATTTGCATAGCTCATTGCATTAATACCATCATTAACACTGATTACTTCACATGAGTCATCTGATTCACTGTAAACAAATCTGTTAGGGAACAATTGCAAATTTTTGAATGTTTTTAACTAATAAAAGTTTTTTTTTTTTTCTTTTGCTTAATAGAATAAAAAGATAAAGTGGTTGAGAAAAAATAGCTAAAAGAAATGTGAAAAAGTAAAAAATAGCCTACAAGAATTTATCATAGATAAATTAGTAACTGTTAATATCAAAAAATAATTAAAGATTTATTTAACCTTGTATCATCAGGTAAAGATAATATAGAATTCTGCATTGTATCATCAGGAGATGAAGTTACAGCTGTTTTCCAATCCGTATCATAAATTATTGCAGATGAATCCATCAAGCTAAAATGATACTTTATTAGTGATTTATCGATTATCTTCTATAACAAACCTATATAATAAAAAAATTATGAGAAGTTCCAATAAAACTCACAATTCGAGTACTATCACATACAATATTAAAACAGAAATACAAAAAATTGATAAAAAACAAAATCAATAAAAATGATCAAATTATAAAAAAAAAAAAAAAAAAAAAAACAGAACAGTTCAATAAATTCATTTAAAAAATTATATTTTTTTATAAAATAACCAAACATAACGAACTCTTCATTATGTTCTCTATTCGATAAACTATTTTGATCAATAACAACAAAATCAGATCCTGATGATGATGTTGACAAATTTCCTTTATTGTCCAATAAATGTACCTCGATAGCTTTTTCCATATTCCAGTTTAAGGATTTCAATAATGATAAAGCTGCTTCCTTATCACGATTATTTGTTACAGCCTAAATGACTTAATTAATTGATAAATTTCACATCAATAACTGCTTATAAATGTTAATACAAAAAATATGATGTGCGCACTGAAATGAACAATCCTAAAATAGTTTTTAGAACAGATAGTAAGTTAAGAATTTCTTTATTACAAATAAAGCTTCATAATTAACTCTGGAATAAAAATTTTCAAAAATAGAACCTTGTAAGAGGAAAAGGATTAATTTACATTTCATTTCCTAATGACATTTCTGACAAATCTATCAATTATAAGCACCCTTCCTTAGAGTATATATGATCTTATGCACAATCCTTTTGCGTGCCGAAAGTCTCAAATTTCAATTGTCAGAAATGTTAGAGGGATTTTATTCTGTTAAAAATTTCATATATTTTCACAAATACATATAACACCCAACAATAAAGTTAAAAAACTCAACTGAAACTGATAAAGAAGTAATAGTAATGCAAGTAACAGTGAATTAAAAGTAATATTTAAACCATCCAACAAATATATTAAGTTTGAAAGCTTAAGGATTAATTGAATAGTGTAATTTTACAAAATGAAATAGTAAACATTTATAAAGTTAGTAAACGAAATCTGATATCTTAACGAATGGAAGTAATGAATATTGCAAAGAATCAAAAATCAAAATTTCCATTGCCCAATTTATCATTTGATAATTTAGTTAAGTTGGCAATAATTGAAATTGTTACAATGTAGCATAGAATAAGATTAACTTTTAAGGGAAAAGAGATATACTTACCAAAAATTGACTAAGTTTCGATAATTGCCAATCTTCAAAATCAAGCAAATTTTCCATTAATATATATATAAATTGAAATTGAATTAAAATTGTCCATCCTTTTCTCCTATTTCTATAATACAATGCAACAATATTATGTAGTATTATAAAAGAAAATCTTCCACTGCAATAACACAATGTATTTTTTAAATCCTTAAAAAACAAAAATAATCGTTGCTTCTGAAAAATTAGAATGAAATTTAAATTAAACTAATAAATAAACCTTTGGTATATTTGTCGAAGGATCACTCAATAAAGCACTCGAACTGATCGTTTTCACATTATTCTATTTTTTTTTCTCCTAAATATTTTAAAGGACAAATTTATAAGCAAAATATAGCTGAGATAGCAAAAATGAAACTAGGTTATCCTCTGACACATATTATTTAAATAAACTCTCTCTCTCAAAGGCTGACAAAAATGTTTGAAGACATGAAATATGTAAATATAAGTCACTAACAGTGCTATTTTAGATTTAAAGCGAAAAATAAAGAATCAAAATGAGAATATCTTTTTTTTTTTGAAAATCCAGATATTCTTAATCTTCTTAATAATAAAGCTAGGCTTCAATTTCACTCAAACATAAAACAAAATCTATTTTTATTTAAAAAAGAAAAAATCCCCTTCAATTCTTATTTGATGTAAAAAGAAAATCATTAGTACCGGGTGGTTCATTATCATCGATTATCTTTCCGTTCATCAATAATTCACATAAATCTAAAGATATCAACATAAAATGGATGATAAAATTTCGTTAAGAAAAGAAAGATAACATGCAAACTATTCCAAATTTCTAAAGATCATATTAATGACATAAAATGTGAAATAACCACCAACAACACTTCAATCCTTCCCGCTATATCATATAGATTTTAAGAGTTAACTTCAAATCCGAATAATACCCTCAGTTTATTTAACAAATTAATCCCAATTCTCATAACTGGGAGTTGGGATTAATTTTTTTGATACTGAGAAATAAATAAAAGTAAACCACAGGAGATCGTAGCAAGATCAACTATTGAATATGTATAACATCATAATTGTGCAAATTTATTAAACTTATTGAAATATATCAAACATAATAAACTGAATAATATCATCATATATTCCTACAGCATCATGGTAAGCTGATTCAGGAAAATATCGATTTATTATTATTTAAGTGACAACATCAAAGTAGATGTAGAAGAGTATTCCGAAAGACAACAAAGGATAAAAACAAGAAAAGGAAAGAGTAGAGTGAAAATAATGCATAACATATTAAAGTAAAAGAATCATACAACATTGCAAAGTTTTAAACTTTTAAACTTTTAACAAAAATCTTGCATTGTACAGCGTATTTACTAAGTACCCGTTTAAGTACTTCCTGAACACTAACAAACCATTAATTAGTATAGTTTAAAATATGTTTCACAATTCCTCCTTTTTGTTCTTCCTGGAAGCCAATCCGGGATATTGTCGTCCTTCCAGCGATACTTCGCTTACTTGTGGTTGTTTTAACAAGAAATCCTTTCCTTCCCAGGCCTTCGATCCATCTGCAAACATGAAGATTGCACGATTATCGTCGATTGTAAATGTCTGAAACAAACTTTATAGCTGATAAAGTTAGGAATATCAATTATAAAGTGTTCAACTTTAAACAAAATATAGTAATCATGAAAAGCGGTTAGTTAAAAGCAAACTGATACTATAACTCTTTTAAGCATCCACAACAATTATGCTATCAATATGATACGCGATACATCTTTTTACAAATAGTACGATTGTAGCTCTCTTCAACAAATCAACCAATATACCTGCCAATTGTTCTAACAACTGAACGAACAGGTGTACATTCCTGAACCGTTAATCAAAATATATCCATTTCACTTAACTATTATGCTTCTATTTTATGCTAAGCACATTTACTTGAAGGAATTGGAAATTAAAGAAAACTTATTAATATGAAATGACCTGGACGTCGATATGATTATTGAAAAGACTGTTTCGCCATACTCCAATCCATCTTTCCGTGTAAAACTTCTCCGCTCGTTTACCATTAACGTCACCAATACCAACAAACATCATTACAGATTGTCCCTTCTTTGATAGCATCATTAACTCTTCCGGTGTTTCTGCCTGCATTCATATATAATTAGAATGTCAACCGTTGAATCAAATTTAACTCATCAAACTCTCATAAAACCGAACAGATAAGTTCTGGCAGTATTAAACAAGACTAATGAATAATGGAAATCAAGAAGGGTTACTCTGTCGAGAAATTCAACTTCTCGAAGAATTGTCAAAAGTTAACCCCTCAAAGAGTTGTCGAAGGTTAACTCCATCGAAAAATTATTGCGAAGAGTTACTTGCAACAATTATAGAAATGCATACCTGTTTCATGATCTTATCAAGATTTGGTTGTTGTATTTTACGTTTGTATGGTGGCAATTCATCCTCTTCTAATTCATCGTCATCATTTTCCTCCCACTGATCGTACAATCTTTCCAGGTCGTTCTCCGTATAATCCCGAATGTCCCACAAATTTCAAAAAAAATATTGATTACTCAAACTTTTACTTCATTTTCAATAACCTTAATTATCTATCTTTACTTGACAATTTCAACTCTTTCGAGATTTTCAAAATAACGTATTTACAAGTGTAATGTTAATGCGAAAGTTCTTAGAATAAAAAAAATAAATGACGCAGCAAAAGTTTTTTTTAAAAAAAATCTTAAACTACTAACTTTCTTTTTCTCTTTTTGTTCCATACAGTTTACATAAACGTTATCAATTATCATCAATGCAATAAACCAAAATCGCATCACAAACATTGCAAATTAATTCCGCACGTGAAAATCACAACAAACTTACACTTCCGAACAAAAGAAAAGAAACTCGTAACAAAGAAATTGCGGCCCGCGTGAATCTCCGTCATTTCCAATGAAAATACGTGTTAAATACGTCTTGTAAGGATTTTTTGTTCTGTAGTTAATCGATGGATTTTAATTTAATCTGTTTAAAAATTCATATCGCTTATATTGATACACTCACGTGTACTCACGTCAACAAATATACGCTTAATGTCAATCAATTGATTTACACTTCTTATCATTAAATTATATATATTAGTTTGAATCAAAAAAAAAAAAAAAAGAGAGAAAATTGCATTAATTAAAACAAAATAATTGTTAAAATAATACTTGCTTTTATAGAAAAAAACTTATTTACTTAATTAATTAATTAATTTTTTTTATTTACTTATTGCTATTTATCTATTCTTTATTCTTTTATTCATTTATTTATTCCATTATGATAGCAAATGATTGTAATATTATCAAAAATATAATAATATTATTCCATTCATTTCATATAAATTTTTATCTTTTCTTTTTTTTTCTTCATTGTTTCATCAAATTTAAATTTAATAATATGAATTAATTAATTATTTACATTATGCTAATATTAAATATTGTTGATATTGTACATAATAGAATTGTATAGAATAATAAATTAGTAAGAAATGAAATAAAAATGAGAAATGGAAAAAAAAAAACAATTTGGAAAAATACAAATTAAAAATAATAATATATATTACATTTAATTTGACAGCCCGTTAAACTATTCGATGAATTGAAAAAAGTTAATAATTATTAAAAAGAATCATTGGCTTATTTTATTTTAATTTTATTATTTATGTCTAAAAGTTAAGACAACAAAAATAAATACATCAATTAAATTAAACTTAATACAAAATTTTCAAATTGACAAATTTATCAGTTTAATAAAAAAAAAAAAACTTATAATTTTTCATTCAAAATTAAAATAATTTATTAATTATTAAAATATAAAAACTTTTCCCTCTTTTGTCAACAAAATTAACAAATTTTTTATTTCATTCTTTGATATAATGAATTTTTCCTGCAATTTTTGATACTTTTATATTTTATAATAAAATTTTCCTTCGTTTTCAATTTATTGAAATTTATGTTATTTTATCTTTTGTTTTTCTTCTTTCTTTCTTCGTTTCTTTTCTTTTTTTGTTTTGTTTTGTTTTCTGGTTTCAAATGTACTTTTGTTAGCTTAAAACATTTACAATAATATCTAAAGTATTAGCAATCGTTCTGTCATCCTTCTGATATGTTGCAAACAATTATCATTTGCATTTATCAAAATGCAAGTTTTATAAAATATTTAAATTTACTTAGAAAAAAAAAATTTCAATTTTTTTGTCATTTTTCATTTGTTATTTTCAATGATATATTTAATCCTTTTCTTTGCATATCCTAAACTTAACTTTTATTTTGTTATTTTTCTAGATTTATATAACAAAAAAGAAAAAAAAAAAAACATTATGCTAAACTTTTTATATTGAAGTAGAAAGTATAAAGTAAACAAATCTTTCTCAAAAGGTTTTATAATTTAAAAAACATTTAAGAAAAATGTTTTTTTTTTTTTCGATTGCTTTATACTTTTAGCAAAATTTTAGTGAAAAACAATCAATAAAAGTTAGCATTTATTGCTTTCTTTTTCTTTTTGTTGTGAATCATTTTGTTCTTTTAGCTTTTCAGAAAAAACTATTCAAAGAGAGGTATTCACTATTCACTGATTCATATTTTCAGACATTTAAAGTGTATTGACTAATAGAAGGTTTGTTAATATATAAGGTATGATGACATGCCCGGTTTATTTATCAATTTACATGTATCACGTAACGATAGTGTCGAGTTTTGCATGTGTCACGTAACAATGCTATCGTGTTTTGTATGTATCACGTAACGATAGTGTCGAGTTTTGCATGTATCACTTAACAATGCTATCGAGTTTTGCATGTATCACGTAACAATGCTATCGAGTTTTGCATGTATCACTTAACAATGCTATCGAGTTTTGCATGTATCACTTAACAATGCTATCGAGTTTTGCATGTATCACTTAACAATGCTATCGAGTTTTGCATGTATCACGTAACAATGCTATCGAGTTTGCATGTATCACTTAACAATGCTATCGAGTTTTGCATGTGTCACGTAACAATGCTATCGAGTTTTGCATGTATCACTTAACAATGCTATCGAGTTTTGCATGTATCACGTAACAATGCTATCGAGTTTTGCATGTATCACTAACAATGCTATCGAGTTTTGCATGTATCACTAACAATGCTATCGAGTTTTGCATGTATCACGTAACAATGCTATCGAGTTTTGCATGTATCACGTAACAATGCTATCGAGTTTTGCATGTATCACGTAACAATGCTATCGAGTTTTGCATGTATCACTTAACAATGCTATCGAGTTTTGCATGTATCACGTAACAATGCTATCGAGTTTTGCATGTATCACGTAACGATAATATCGAGTTTTGTATGTGTCACGTAATGGATGACACAGTGAACATTTCAAAAGTGTAAGGCATATTACATATTTGTGAAATAGCTGTGGTAAGGTAATGTTTTGGAAATTTCTTTTCACTTTTTTTTTTTTTTTTTTTCAATTATATGGAAAATCTAAAGTTATAGTCAAAGTTTATTAATGATCTTTCTTTTTCATTCTATCAGTATTATTTTTTGTGATCTTTAAATTGGATTGCATATTGGATTAAGTTTCGATGTACTGTTCGATTTCTTTTTTTTTTAATTTCAAAGCAAACTTACTTATTCTGGTTATAACTATGTTATACTATGTAAATATTTGCATAGAAGTGAATTTCCTAAAATGTAAAAAAAATTTTTAACATTAAACTTTAAAGAATTTAAGTGCTTTTTTTCTTTCTTCCAAATGATTTAAAAATTTTGAAAAATGAATGCCAATTATTTGTCATATTTAACATTTTCACTGCAATAAACAATAAAT